CTAATATGACTTTGATGGAGTACATGCTGGTTAGATGCTGTATTATTCTCTGCTTGCTATGGAGCTGTTGTAGTCCCCACTATCACTTCTGTAACCATTAACTTTGGGAAGGTTTCTGCTTATGTGCACTGGTTAGTCAAAAAATTCCCGAACCAAGTAGCTCCATGGAGGAAAAATAATATCTTTCAAAGAGCACTGTGCCTTTGGAGAAGAGAATGACACCATGATTAAAAATAGTCTTATCAGAATAAAATAATCTTTCTTAGCTGGCTTTGTATTAATCAGTCTTAATGGCCAAGTTTCTAGTTTGAAGGAACAAGTGAGGTTTCTCTTGTGTGGTTTTATATACTTGATCTGTGCTGTGATTTATAATCTGGAATATAAGAAAGCTCCTTTGCTTATGTTTCCAAAAATCAGCAATTTGTGGTTCCCCATGCTGATGTGTTAGTACTTAGGCTGCAGGTTATAGCGTTCAATGCCCTGTCCAACAGCAACTGCTTACACAGCGAGACTGCTCTCCTCAGCAGCTCTGCCTTGGAGCATCATAGCCCACCTGCACCCTTTCTGGGTTTATTTTGTTAGATCCTATTTTTGTCTGGGTTTGTCAAGCCCTTTCCCTTCCTTGGTGGATAGCTGGCAATGGTGTGGCTGCAAGAGATAAGCTGTCCTCCCCGATGTGTCTCCAGCCCGTCCCTCTGCCTCATTGCCTTTCCCATTTGGAGCAGCTCCCAGCACTGGCAAGGATCAGTGTGGGGTGGCAGGAGAGACTGATGGGTGCCAGCACTTGTGCTCCTCACCAGTGTGGCAAAGCCAAGGCCCCTCCCCAAGCCCCAGCACCTCCATGTCTATGCTGGAGGCAATGGCAGTGCTGTGACACAGGAGCGCCCTTCAAGAGCTGGCGGTGACCCCAGAGGGGAACCACCATGTCAGGATCACTCCAGAGGAAGAGTTGGAGGATAATAATACATGAGAGTGTGACAAGCAGGGAGCCAGGTGGTGATTGGGAGTTTATGCTGGGCTGTGCCAACCAGGAAGGAGGCCTATGCAGCTGCCACCCATGTTGGGTCACCAGGAACACGCACCATTTCACCGCGTGGTGAAGGGAAGAGGGGCGTTCCAGCCTCCCTGTGATATTTGCACCCGTGTGTGAACACCCTGGATGACCCCAGGGTGCTGTCCTCCTTTCCTCTCTAAACCTCAACCCATCCCTGGCTCGTGTTTGTGGTCTTCCAGACACCTCTGCTGCTCCTTTCCCCTTGTTCTCTGCTGTGCTGCCAGTCTGTCCCAAGGATTCAAACCCCAGTGCTACCCTGGCAGATGTGGTCTCTTTGGTCCTTCCCTGGTTTTCCTGCATGTCCACAGCCCTCACTTGCCCCATGCATTGTGCAAGCGATACTGCTTTGGCAAGCAGCGGGCTCTGCGGGGGCCACTGATGTGTCCTCTCGGCTGCAGCCAGGCGCTGCACAGCAATGCTGGGCACAGGCAGGGGCGGAGGGTGACCTCAGATTTTGGAAAGGCACCCAGGGCCTGCTGCAACATCGCTCAGGCCTCTGTGGGAGCCCGGAGCCACACGTGTTGACACTGAACCTGACTGCAGGAAGATCAAGAAATGCAAAAGTGCATCTTGCTGAGGGAAGCTGGACTTGGCCCTTGCATGAATTTGCCAAGCTCTGCAACCGAGGCCCATGAAAGAAGCGTTTCCTGCTGCAGCAACATTGCCCATTGACCTCCCTACACACCACCTTGTGTGGGTCATTTTGGGTTTGGCTTTTTTTTTTTTACGGATGAAAGCCCCAGCTGCACCTTCTGCAAGCAGTTTCTGGCTGATTCACTCGAAGGAAAACTTTGTCCTTGGTGGAAACACCCTGCCGAGTGGGAGGGACATGCTCCGTCCCAGGGATCTGCTTCCTTCAGCAGTCAGGCTGCACCAGCAGCATGGCAGACTGCGCAAGGCCAACAAAAACAAGCAAAAAAACCCCTCAGCTAGGTCTCAGCAAGTGCGGAATAACACAGGGACCACACTGACCTCCTTGGTGTTCAGTGAAGAGGAAGCGAGTTCCCCCATGCTTTCAACTGCACCATTCCCTGCCTCTCCTCAAGGCAAGGCAGCAAAATTTAACCCTGAACCTTCTTCGTAGAGATCTCATTTTCCTAACCCACTACTGTGCCTCTGAGGGCTTCTTGGGGGGGAAAGAAAAATTACGTGTCCCTCCCCAGCACATGCATTTACCCTGCTGGAGTAACTTTTGCTGCTGGCAACAGCCACACACGCACTGTCCGTCACATAAATTGGCCCTTCTCTGACAGGTACCACTTAAATGCACCATGTGTGCCGGCCAGGGCTTAGCCTTCACTGGGGTGTCTTGGGGTCAAGGGGTGAAAGCTTCGTTCTTGGCAGCTTTATAAAAAGCAGACAGGGTTTCTGGAGGTGATGATGCAGGTGGCAGCAGGGGGGACAGTGGAAGAACAGCTCTGCAAGGGCCAGGGCGAACGTGTTCCTGGCTGTGTTTGAATTGGAGCCCAGCCATAGAAACCAAAGGAAAAAGCACAAGGTTTGGGAGGCGGATAACCTTGGCCACAGCCTGCCTCTCGGCTGGTGCCTGCGCTCCAGCAGAGGACGCACATGGGGTGGGAAGACCTGGCCATCCCTCCGCGACCGTGGCGTCAGCCTCACACCCGCCGGAGCCACAGGCAGCGCCCAGGGCTGCAGCCATGTGAGCGGGGAGCAGGTGACGTTGGCAGGAGCACTCCTCAGGGACGCCAAGGGCTCAGCGGGTCCCGGCCCCCAGCCAGTGGCGTTTTTCCACCTTCTAGTCCCGTCACATCAGCAAGTGCCGGGGCACGGGGAGGCACTCGCTGTTGGGGCCTGTGCCATGTGTTATTCAGTCTCAACAATCCCAAGTCTGGGAGACTCTGGGACAGCAGGAGATGCTCTCCTGATGGAGCAAAATCAGGCTGTTTCACTGGGCCTGTATTTAAAACACAGTCCAGGGCACCACTGCCTTACAGGCAGCTTTTCATCCTTGCATAAGGCTTTCCTTGGGCTGCCAGCCCCCTCCCTTCTCCCAGAACAGCCTGATTTGTGTCAGAAAGTGCTGCTGTCACAGACTGAAAAGCCCAAGGCTGAAGCATGGCATTTTCTACTCCAAGTGTCTCCTCCTTTCAGGTGGGAGCCCGCCTGCTCGGTGACTCAAGTTACAAGTTTCCTTCTTAATAATGGAGTCCCCTGTGATGAGTGTCTAAACAACACCCCCACGCCCCTTGCTTTGGAGGTTTCAGGAGACAGGTCCCATCTTGTTGCTGTGCCTTACTGGAGCACCCTATCTAAGGACTGACTCAGTCACTGCCCAAACACCCAGCAAACAGTTCCATGTCTGGGCACGACCCTGCACCAGCCAAGTGTGGGGCTCTGGCACCTCTTTTCCTCCCTGCACGTCAACAGAGGGCAGACCCCTGTCCCTGCATGCTGCTTTCAGGTGGGTGTTTCACCTCCTCACAATCTTCAGGCTCCCTGAGACAGCACATGGACAAATACCTCAGAAGGAGCGAGGCTATACTAATCCTTTTCTCTAATCCTTGCCCAGGCTGCACAGCTATCGGTTGTAAACTAACTCTAGGCCCCACTGCTTGGCCTACCTGTGCCCAAAAAAGGGAAAGGCTCTGTGCCTCCCTGCGTTGCCACCTAGCAAATGCAGGGCAAGGATCAGGAAGGCACATACTTGCCCTCAATTTTCCATTTCCAGAAACATGTCTAAGGGCAAGAGTTTGTGCATGCTCTTGATAAATGATTACAAGGGGTTTGAGACACAAAGGGGAAAAAATAGTTTTGTTGCTTAGCAGAGTGTGACAGTCACGTGGCACGAAGCGGGCACAAGCAACAGCCCAGCTCCCAGGGCTTGCAAAGCCAAGGGCAAAGCAGACCAAGGTCTTCCAGCAAGAAATTCAGGCTAGAGGGGCTGAGGGGGTGCAGGCAAGGATGCTAGTGGGAGCCAGTAACCAGTACCAGCTCCACCTTTGGTTTCCTCAAGTACATTCAGAGCAACTCCAACAGCTTTTTAAGGAGGCAGCAGGGTTGCTGCAAGCCGCCCCTCGAGCAGGAGGCAGCAGGAGCACAGTGGGGCTGGGGAAGCTGGGCCACACGGCACCCGTAGGGTGGGACGGGTCTTTCAACACTTTCCTCAGCACAGTGGAAACACCTCAGCCCATCTTGTTAAAAAGCAGTGGCTCCCTCTGACAGAAACTCTGATTAAAGCTGAGCAATGAGAGGTTAGAAAAAAGAAAAAAAAAAAAATCAGACCTCCATCTCCACTGCTTGTTCTCATACCCAGCCTCAAGCCCACCCTGCTAGAAGTCACCCTAGAACATTCCCAGGAGAGAGGACACAGCCTGCACAGGCACCTTAAGGCTTCCTTTGCTCAGCAAGTCCAGGATAGACCCCAAATGAGTTTGCACAGAGGGGAGAGAAACTGACCCACAAACAGCATCCCCTCTGCAGAAACCACCGCCAGGGAAGGCTCCATCTACCCAGCACAGATCCCAGCCCAGCCTCACAGGTGACAGCTCTGGCAAGTTGCCACAGAAGAATTTTAAGAACTCTGTTGACTTGATTGAAGGCCCCAGAGCCATCACGCGCCAAAGGCAAAGTATGCCGCTCCCCCAGGGAGAGAGGCTTTGCTTCCCTCACCAGGGAGCTGAATCATGGCAGGACTTGGAGGGCCAGGCACTCCGCCACTTTTTCCTAGACTGTTGCTATTCCCTGTTAGCACAAGAGGTCAGGGAGACAGCTGCCCTTGCCATGTTGCACAAGCCTGCGCAGCACCAGGCTATTCCTGATGCAATGAAGCTGCTGCCGAGCATGCCACAAATCAGTGACCCGGCCTGCGAGAGGAAGGCGCCAAGGGCCAGTTCAGAGTTCAGCAGCAGCCATGTCCCTCCTCATCTGGGAACAGGCATGGCTAAGGTGTCCTCTCCCCACTGAGCACACACCACACAACAAACAGTTATTATATCATGCTTTTAATACAAACTTAAAAAAATCTGGAACAATAGAAACTGTACAGATTTGATCAACCTTTTTGTTTTTGGTTTTTTTTTTGTTGTTTTTTTGTTTTTAACTAAACCTCTAGACACACCAATGTCCCATTCCAAAATATTGCACAACATTCTGAATACAAAACTCTGATTGTATTCCTCCTTCGCTAAAGAAAAAAAAAGAAAAAAGAAAAAAAAAAAAAAGACAGCAACCCCCAGGTTCCCCCTCTCAGTAGCCCCCTTCTCAGAAACCCAAGCAGAGCACACATGGACACCCTCCGCTGGGAGACACACAGACTTCTGTCCTCTTTCACTCATTCTCTCCCACAAGGCAACTGTCAATTCACTCCTCGGAGAGGGATGGGAGGGAAAGGAGGGAAGCTGAGTGGGGAGAAAGGAATCTTCACCACTTTTTTTTTTTAAAGTTTTTTTCCTGAAAAAATATTTTTCTCTCTCCTCTTTTTAAGAAAAAATCTTGAAAAGAAAAAAATTACAGTTTTTTTACGTTAGAAATATACATATATTATATATACCTCTTACATTTTACAAATGTAGCAAATTATTCAATACAAACAGACATCAACAAAAAGAACACAAACCCATAAAAAATAAAAGTTAAAAAAAAATTTTCTCTCTTCTCTTCCTAAGAAACCAGGTAAATTAGTGCAGGTTTTTAAAAAATAAAATTGAAGCTGAACGCCTACATCCAAGACTAGAAAAGACCTGAAAAGGCCGTTAGTTTCCATTGCTGCCTGATGCTGGAGGAACGTTTCTGAAGCACGCTTTTTTCCTTTTAAGATACAGAGGTTGGTCCCTCCTCTTTCCCTCCTTCCACTCATACCACTATTTTTAAAGCAGGTATAATACGTGTGGCAGGGCAAAGCGGCATCAAAGCTTCACAGACACAAGCGGGTGGCTGGGGGCATCCCCACCTCTCCCCTCCCTCCCTGTGCTGGAGGGGAGCACACTGTCCCGCAGCAGTGGCTCACAGATGGCTTTGCCAGATGCAGGGACAGTGCAGGGACAACTGGACCAGGTCCTGCCATCAGGGGCTCAGCACCCCTCAGTCCAGCATGGCAAGTGGGCTGGCACTCAGCAGTACACTCCTTGGGAGAAGGACAGGGTGGCAGTGGTAACGTCCATAAGTGGAGGGTTCAAAAAAAAAAAAAAAAGCAACAAGGGGGAACCCAACAGCTTGGCCATTCCTCAGCAGCTTGTCCTAGTCTGGAAACTTGCAAGGTTGAGGCTGCAGGCTTGGGGGAGCTAGCTGGGCACTGCTCTCCTTGCCCACCTGCTGCATTGGTCATAGCCTGAGGGCAAGCAGCCTGCTCAGGAACCTGCACTGGGTGTGAGGTCATTGGGCACGAGGTTGGGGCCATGCCTCCCCACCAGCTACACAGCAAAAGGAAGGGAGTGCTAGAAGCTCTCCTGAAAGAGTTCCAGGCAGTGGCAGTCTCCCTGGGACAGCCCACTGCCTCTGCAAAGGCTCATCAGTAACACAACTACAAGAGGGCTTGAGTGCCTTCATCTTGGCGGGAAGGGAGGGAGTGGGGGAAAAGCACAAGTTCAAGCCCATCTCCCCTGAAACAGGGATGTCTTGAAAGAGCACACTGGTTCAACAGATACAGGAGAAGTGGGTTTCAGAGGGTGCTCCAGAGACATAATTAAAAGAAAACCAAACCTTAAGTTTGGAAGGCAGCAAAAAGCTTATTTTTCTTTTAAACTGACAGCTTCAAAGACTGGAGTCTCATCATCTCCATCTCTCTCCTCTTTGCACGCTTCCATACTCCCACAACAGCCTCCAAGGAAACCTTCCCAGCCAGAGAGCCTCCACCCTGCCTGGGCAAGTAGCAGTCCTCCTTCAATCTTGCCATACAGGTGGGTTTTGGAATCCCTGACACAGAAGCAACTCAGCTGAAAAGCCCAACTGCAGCACATCATCCCGGGAAAGCTGCAGGAATGTTCTCAGATCCCAGCCCCATGGCGGGGAGGCACGGCACATTCACACGCTAGGACTTTGGAGTGCCTGCCCCTGCTCTGTTCTAAGCCTGCCACTATCCAGGCTGACATGATCTGGCTGGAAGGCTGAGTTTATGCTAGGTGCTTCCCTTCCACACCAGACAAGACACCTCCTCCTCCTGCTCCTCCAAGACGGGCAGGGGAGGGGATTTAGTCAGGTGCGTACCTGGCCAAAAGCACAAATCCTTATGCTACCACTCAAGGGAGTGGCTTCAACAACATAGCCCTTTCTCTTCCTCAAAAGTAGTGCTGCCTCGCTAACTAAAAAGGAATTCCCTCTCAGAGACAAGAAGATGAATTCACAGCAGGAAACAAGAACTCACACCTCAGAGGCCACCTCAGGGGGATGCTGGCCCCTGCTGCTGGGGAGAACATCTGGGAAGTGGGTGCAGGATCCGAGTGGTGCTGCCTGGCTCATCAGCATCCCCCAGCCGCAGGGACAGGCTGGAGGTGTCTCTACGCCACAAGTCTGTCACCCGGCCAATTGGCCGGTACAGAAAGGCCCCCGCACCCACAGGCGGAGCAGGGGACAATGACCAGTCACTCAGTTCAAAGCACTGTCCTCCTGTAGCCGTGGCTGGAAGTGCAGATGAAGGGAGCAGGAAGAAGCCATTTCACAGTAACACTGTCCTCCCTGCTACATGCTGGGAGGTGGTCAAGGAGAAGAGTTGGTGCTTTTCAGCACACAGAGAACAGCTGATGCCAGCCTGGGCTGGAGCAACAACAGCACAACAGTCTATGCCCATGGGCACAGTAGATGCTCTCCGTCTACACGCAGAGCCGTAACAGAAAAAGCAAGCTCACCCACCCATTTCTGGCTAGCACACAAGAAGAGTGTGTGTATCTCCACTGACACTGACTCATCCTCTCCCTGTTCCTCCTCCAGCGGTACGAAGACAACATCCCTACACCCAGGTGGAAGGACCCTGTGTCCAGCGCTGGGGCGGGTGCAGGGAATCAGGAGCATCGTGACCTATGGTTGCATCAGCCTGGGCTGGGGGAAACACAAACTGAAAAAAATCTAAAGACTCAGTTAAGGAGTAAAAAAGTGAGTTGGAAAAAAGCACAGGGACTGAGTTAAAAAACAAGTCAGTGCTTCAGGAGCGTTGCCAGCACAGCGCAACACCGGGCTCTCTCTTTTCCCAAGAAGCTATATTTATAAGATTTGAATATTTTCTGTATATTTCTATTCTCTCCCTCTTGTTTGTTTTGTTCTTGTTTCCCCCCCTCCCTCCCCACCCCAGAATACTCTCCTTCTTTGTGTTCAGTTGGCCAGGACAACAGGCTGGAACGACTGGCTGGGATACTGCATGGCATTCAGGTTGTAGCTGAGTCCTTCCACGAAGGGAGACTTCTCCAAAAAGAGGCTGTTGGTGCTGCCACCAAAGACCTGAGCCATATCAAAGGTACCACCTGTGCCAGCATTGAACTGCGATGTCGGCGGGATGCTGCTGGCCTGACTCTCACTGGCAACCCCATCGAAGAAGAGACTGTTGGCTCCCGGCGACCCACCGCTGTAAACGAACTCCTTGGCATTGGGGGAGAGCTGTGACTGTGGGGCTTGGCTCCCAGCACTCCCGACGAAGTTCAGAGAGTGCATGGACAGGGAGAGGCCCTTCTGCTTCAGCAGGTTGGTGGTCGGAGACCTGACCATCCTTGGCTGCTGCCCAGCCCCTGCTCCACCACCCCCTCCTCCAGCTCCTCCACCCTTCTTCATCTTGGTAGAGCCAAACTTGGTGGCAGCAAAGGTGGCAGTGGTAAAAGTGATGGGCTGGGCAGAGCGAGGGATGAAGGTGGGGCTAGGTGACTGGCCAAAGGAGGGGGACGGAGAGTTGGACAGTGAGTTGTCCTGGCTGCCAATGGGAACAAATACCTGGGCATCGGGGTTGAAACTGCTCTTGATTTCTTTGTCCAGCTCTGCGGCGCTGCAGCCTTCGCTGTCATCCAGGTAGAGGACCTTAACAGAGCCCTTCTCACCGATCTGGTAGGAAACCTCAAAAGGATCGATCCAGACACTCAGCTCTTCTGGCACATTGGCGCGCACATCCTCCACGGCCAGCCCGCTCCGCTTGGCCGCCAACTCCACCACTGGATCCACTGTCTCCCCTATATGAACACAGCGATAGCCAGATCCCTTCAGAGGCTTCTCTGGGTACCAGTGACCCTCATATTTCTTCTTCAGCAGGCGCTCTAGCTCCTCACCAAACAGGTCTGCCCGCCTCCGAGGAAGCTTGTTGTACAGGTATGAGATGATGAAGTTAAGAGCAACTTTGATCTCCAGATGCATACTCCCTTCACGGCAAGCAAGTCAGGGCAGTGTATTAAAAGAGACAAAATGACACACACATAGACAAGATTTGGCTCCAAACAGACCTAGGGAAAAAAAGAAAAGGATGGATGAAGACGAGAGAACACAACAACTCTCCACCTGTTGAGGTGAACAGCCATGTTTTTTCATTAACAAAAGCAGAATGAGCAGTTTGCACAAACACTAACAAGCACTGATGCCCTCTAGGAGAGTCACCCCAAATCTACTGGCCCTCAAACCAGAAAGATGCTGGCAGGGAGGAATATCCCTGCTCCTCCACAGAAGAAATAAGGGTGTAGCTACTACCTGCACAGAGGTATGTACATTATACTTACCACACTGCCAAATACCACTGCTGAAACCTGGCAGGCCAACTGTCTGCTCTGGCAGAGCTGTATCAGCACATCTAACACGCCTCTCTCTGCCCTAGCACTCAGCTGCTTCCAGCACAGCTCACCTGCACCAGCCTCCCCGGAACATAAGCGCAGCACCTGAACAGCCTCGTGACTCACTCAGCAGTTTGTGCAGAAACCTGCTCGTGCTCAGGACAGCAGGGCCAGCCTCTCCTCCGGGAGGCTGGGTGGTCATGCTGGGTGCCACATCCTGCTGGCAGAAGCGCAGAAGGGATGAGAAGGAGCGAGGGAGGGTGCTGAGGCACCAGCTGCCAGCCTGTGTTTATTATCTCCTTGACTGGCAGGCACATATCTTATTAAGCATATCCAGTTAGGGCTCTGCCTAGCTACAAGCCTAAAATCCCAGTTTAATTCAGTTGTGGGGGAGAGGGGGACAGGAAATGTGCACAAGGTCACAAAAACATACGGGTGCCAACAGCCTGTCCAATACAGTTCACATCGCTTATCCCTGCACAGAGGGAAGACGAGGTCTGCCAGGATCAGGTACCTTCTTAATAAAAACTGAAAATGCTTGCCAAAGACTGAAGTAATCCTCCTTCCCTCCCTCCCTCGTGAAGAAGCTTCTGAAATGGAGAGAACCCACAAAAGCACAATACAAAACCACAACACTCAACTCTCCCATTATACAGAGATTTGCAAACAATGTTCGTCTGGGTACAAAAAAAAAACCCAGATAGGTCAGCACCATGCTCTGTCACCCATCCAAAGAAAACGAATCCCACGGATATTTTAAGAGGAAGCACACTTCCAGTAGCCTCCACGCCTCTCCAGGGGGAAGCAGAATATCCAGTTTTTAATTACTGGCAGCTTAGTCAGAGGCCACTCTGTCTTCAGCTGCCCTCACCTTGCTCAAACAGACACACCGTGTTCAAGCATCTTCCTAAAATGGGCTTTGGAGATGCTCTCATGCAGCACTCAAGCCATTGTTTATGACTTACGCCAATTATTTGGGCGTGTGGATGGAGTACAAACATACACTGTCAGCATTTCCCTGAAAAACTGGGAATCCCAGCAGCATAACAGGTATCCATGCTGGTCTAGGTCAGGAGGAAGTAAAAACTGACCAGACTTGTTTGCTTGGTCTAGTTTAGTGGGCAAAAAGGATTAAATACGTTTTAAAGAAACCCTCAAATATTTTGAGGCTTTATTATAAAAAGGGGTGCAGATTCTATGCTTTTTCTGTACTAGTCTGAGTTCAGAGAGGCTTGGCTTCAGGATAATGAAGTTCAGAAGCAAATCCCACACCTCAAGTCTGTCAACAAGGTGGTCAGTTCTGGAAGGAATCCCCTTTGGGTTTGACTCGGCAACAGAAAACAACACAGAAATGAGGGGATGGAAAAAGAGGGCAAGAAATCCTGCCTTTAAAACCTGCTCTAAGGAATTACTGTAGTGTAACAACTTTCGGTAGGTTACCAAGACCTGATTGAGTTCAAATAAAAACAGATGAACAGCAAAGAAATAAACAGCCAGAGTTTTTCAGAGAAAAGGAAGGAGAAGCCATTTTCAGAAGGCAAGAGTCTCAGCACAGAGATGGAGCCTTTTCCAGAGAAAATGGCATGAAGCAAACCCCTGAAAGGGCACACCTAAACGTTAACTAGATCTTATATGGCCTATACTACCTCAAAGCAGGAATTACACAGAGCCCTCTCACTCCTTTGGCTTCAAGGCATCCGAGGGAGAGGACAGCTTGGGATCCCAGCAAATTAAGCAAGAAGAAAACAGCCAGTTTCTAAAGCTTTTAATCTCATGTGATAAATTCTAATCCAGCTCCAAAATCTATTAAGAAATCAGAAATTACAAATTGAGAAAGGACCAAAGGTGAAAATTTGTTACCATCCTATTTGCAACACAAATGCTTTAAGATACTTTGAGGAGCCCATGTCCTCATCAACCTTCTGCAGAAGACAGCGAGGAGATACAATTATAAATCATTGCCTCCTTTCTCTAAGAAGTACTCCCCCTTCCTAAAGGGGAAACACTCTGTGCTTCGACTATAAAAAAGATGAGTTAATTCATGTAATAACACTAACAGATGCCAAGGTAGCTGCATATAGGCGATACCTGCAGAAGGCACAGAAGATCAGAGATATCACTGACTCTCATTGTTGACACGATACGGTGTGCTCCAGTAGGACCCCCTCAACCTCTTTCTACTGCACCAAAATATAACTTGGTAATAAAATAAAATTTTAAAAAACCCAAACAGCTGAAGCAGCAAAGCTCCAAGGCGAAGAACAACTAAATATCAGTTGTAAAAGGTATTCTGACGAGTCTTTCATAAAGAGAGGCTTGCCCACATTGCCAGCATTTCCAGAGCAAAGGCTTACTGTACCACAGGCAGAACGCGGAGGTGCCGGGTGGAAACAAAGGGCTGTTCCTCTGCTCTGCGGAGGGAACGCGGGAGCCCCCTCAGACCCCCTGCTCACCAGCACGCTGACGCGCTCAAGAAGAGAGCCCAAATAGTCACTTGCATCAGAGAGCAAACACGAGAGCAATGCCCTCTGCTCCTCGCTACGCAAACACAGCGGGTGACCTTGCGAGTCTCCGCTCCAAGCTCCCGAGAGGGGCCTGGCCCCCAGGAACCACCGAGCCGCCAGCTCACCCTCGCCAGCGGCGTTCCCAGGGGCTTTACAAGTCGGCTGCCACGACGACGACCCGCGGCCCCAGAGCGGGCCACACCCGGCCGGCACACGGGCGCCCTTTGCAG